AGGAATGGAGGAAGATTTACCAACCAAATGGAGAGCAAAAAAAAAAAAGAAAAGCAGGAGTTGCAATCCTAGTCTCTGATAAAATAGACTTTAAAGCAACAAAGACCAAAAGAGACAAAGAAGGACATTACATAGTGGTAAAAGGATCCATTCAAGAAGAAGAGCTAACGATCCTAAATATATATGCATCCAATACAGGAGCACCCAGATACATAAGTCAAGTTCTTAATGACTTACAAAGAGACTTAGACTCCCACACAATAATAGTGGGAGATTTTTTTTTTTTTTTTGAGATGGAGTTTCGCTTTTGTTACCCAGACTGGAGTGCAATGGCACGATCTCGGCTCACCGCAACCTCCGCCTTCTGGGTTCAAGCAATTCTCCTGCCTTGGCCTCCCAAGTAGCTGGGACTACAGGCGCGCACCACCATGCCCAGCTAATTTTTTGTATTTTTAGTAGAGATGGGGTTTCACCTTGTTGACCAGGATGGTCTCGATCTCTTGACCTTGTGATCCACCCGCCTCGGCCTCCCAAAGTGCTGGGATTATAGGTGTGAGCCACCACCGGGCCTGGCAATAGTGGGAGACTTTAACACTACATTGTCAATATTAGATCAACAAGACAGAAAATTAACAAGGATATCCGGGACTTGAACTCAGACCTGAAACAATTAAACTTAATAAACATTTACAGAACCCCAAATTCACAAAACATACATTTTTCTCAGTATCACACCACACCTATTCTAAAAGTGACCACATAATTGGAAGTAAATCACTCCTCAGCAATTGTATAGCATTTCACAGGTTTAAATGAAATATTGGTTGGCTGCTTGTTTGTTATTTTCCTCCCTTATTCCTTCCTGACTCCATTGTTAACCACATTTATTGGCATAAAAGAGGTTTTTAATACCCATTTTTAGACTATAGTCTAGCCTGGGCAATAGAGCAAGATTCCTGTTCTCTCTCCCTCTTTCTCTTCCTCTTTCTTTCTCTCTTTCGTTCTTTTTTTCTTTCTTCTTTTCTTTTCTTTTTTCCCAAAAAAAAGAAAAGAAAAGAAAAGAAAATCATGCCTAGGTGACAAAACTGCTAAATGACAAAGATACAGAACAAATCTTGAAAGTATCCGGAGAAAAATTAAAAAGTACATACAGGGGAACAAAGATTTAAACTATTGAGGACATTTTGTCAGAGTGATGAAGGAAAGAAGATACTAGAACAACATCTAAAGTTTTGAAAGGAAAAAATTCTGCCAACCCAGAATTCTATATCTCAACAAAAATATCATTCAGGGTGAAAAGTGAAATAAACATTTTCAGATGAAAGAAAATCAAGAAAAGTAGTTGTCAGTAGATCTGCATTGCTTTATTGGAAAGGCTAAAGGAGGCTGGGCATGGTGGCTCATGCCTGTAATCCCAACCCTTTGGGAGGCCAAGATGGGTAGATCACTTTAGGCCAGGAGTTTGAGACAAGGCCAGCCAACATGGTGAAACCCTGTCTTTACTAAAAATACAAAAAATTAGCTGGGCATGGTGGCACAAGCCTGTAATCCCAGCTACTTAGGAGGCTGATGCAGGAGTATTGCTTGAACCCAGGAAGTGGAGGTTGCAGTGAGCCAAGATCATGCCATTGCACTCCAGCCTGGGCAACAGAGCTAGACTCTGTCTCAAAAAAAAAAAAAAAAAAAAAAAGAAAGAATGAAAGAAAATGTTGAACTCATAGAAATAGAAAGTAGAATGGTAGTTACCAGAGTCAGAGTGGTGGGGGAAAGGGTAGATGTTGGTCAAAGGCTACAAAATTTTAGTTATAAGATGAATAAATCCAGAGGATCTAGAGTACAGCATGATAACAACAGTTAACGATATTGAATTATATATACTTGAAATTTGCTTAAATGTTGTCACCACAAACCAGAAAAAAGGCAACTATGTGAGGTGACAGATGTTTTAACTAAATTATGATAACCATTTCATGAAACACCAAACTGTACACCATAAAATCATCCAGTTTTATTTGTCAATAAAGCTAGAAACAAATCTTTTTTTTTTTTTTTTTTTTGAGACTGAGCTTCACTCTGTCACCCAGGCTGGAGTGCAGTGGCATGATCTTGGCTCACTGCAACTTCTGCCTCCCAGGTTCAAGCAATTGTCCTGCCTCAGCCTCCCAAGTAGCTGGAACTACAGGTGCCCGCCACCACACCTGGCTAATTTTTGTATTTTTAGGAGAGACAGGGTTTTACCATCTTGGCCAGGCTGGTCTTGAACTCCTGACCTCATGATCCACCTACCTCGACCTCCCAAAGTACTGGAATTACAGGTGTGAGCCACCGTGCCTGGCCAGAAACAAATCTTTTTAAGTTCACACACACACACACACACACTCACACACTCGAAAAGACATACATATATATGCACGATGAAATCTATTTAGCCATAAAAAAAAGAAAGAAACCATGCCATTTGTGACAATGTGGCTGAACCTAGAGGACATCGTGCTAAGTGAAATAAGCCAAGCACAGAAAGACAAAACTGACATGCTCTCACTTACAGGTGAAATTCAAAATACACTCATACAAGCAGAGAGTAGAGCGATGGTTGCCAGCGGGGGCTGTGGGGTGGAGGAAATGGGGAGACAGTCAAGAGGTACAAACTTTCAGTTATAGGAAGAGTACCTTCTGAGAATCTAATGTATAGGATGACAGTATGGCAATGCTAGTTAATAATACTGTATTCTTTACCTTAGATTTGCTAAGAGAGCAGGTAAGTGTCCTCACTCCACCTGCCCAATGGTAAGCATGTGTGGTGAACAATGTGTTAGTTAATTTGATTATGGTAATCATTACACAATGTAAATGTACATCAAACCATTATGTTGTACATCTTGAATATGTAGAATTTGTACTTGTCAACTATATATCAATAAAGCTGAAAAAGAGATTTATAGCTTTAAATGATAATATTGCAAAATAATAAAAGTATAAGATCAATGACCTATGGGTCCACCTTAAGAAGCTATAGGGCCGGGCGAGGTGGCTCATGCCTGTAATCCCAGCACCTTGGGAGGCTGAGGCAGGTGGATTACGAGATCAGGAGTTCAAGATCAGCCTGGTCATCATAGTGAAACCCCGTCTCTAAAAAAAAAGAAGAAGAAGAAGAAGCTATAAAGAGAAGAGCAGTGTACCCAAAGTAAATAGAAGACATGAAATAATAAAGAGCAAAATTCAATGAAAAAAACATTAAAACAATAGAGAAATTAACAAAGCCCAAATCTGGTTATTTGAAAAGATCAACAAAATTGATAAACCCATAGCAAGAATGAAAAAGCAAAAAAGAAAAAGAACACAAGCTACCAACATCCAGTATGACAGAATTGTTACTTTAAATCCTACTTACATTGAAAAGATAAATAGTGGCTGGGTACAGTGGCTCACATCTGTGATTCAGCACCTTGAAAAGCCAAGGCAAGAGGGTCACTTGAAGCCAGGAGTTCAAGACCAGTCTTGGCAACAAAGGAAGACTCCATCTTTACATTTTTTTTAAATGAGCTGGGTGTAGTGGTGCACACCTGTAGTCCCAGCTATTCGGGAGGCTGAGGCAGAAGGATCACTTGAGCCCCAGAATTCAAGGCCACAGTGAGCTATGATCATGGCACTGCACTTCAGCCTGCCTCAAAAAAGAAAAGGAAAGGGAATATTACTAACTTTATGCAAAAATTTTGACCGCTTTGGTAAAATTGACAAATTAAAAATATATATAATTTACCAAAACTGGCTCAAAATTAAACAGAAAACCTGAACAGTCTTACATCTATTAAAGACATTGAATTTGTTGCCAAAACCTTCCCAGCAAGAAAACTTCAGGCCCAGATAATTTCACAGGTAAATTCTGTCAGACATTTAAGGAAGAAATAACAACACCTTTCTGAAGTCTTTCAGAAAATAGAGGAGGAAACAATTCTCTGCTGGCCTGGTGACTTGCTTTGGTCAATCCAATGCACTGGAGTTAATGGCATGATAGCTTTGAGGCCAGGCCTCAGGAGACCTTGTTCACCTCTACTCTCCCTTGGAATCCTGCCACAGTCACGACAAACCCAGGGATCCTGCCGGAAGATAAAAGACTATATGAAACAGAGAGGAACTGCCCCAGTTGAGGCTACCGTACATCAGCCAGACTCTAGCCAACTTCCTTGGGTGAGTCCAGCCAAGATCAGCCAGGCCAAGCCCAGTCAGCAGTATACCCACCCAAAACCACAGACTAGTGAGCTCAGTACATGGTTATTTTAAGCCACTAAATTTTGGGGTAGTTGTTTTGGGGTAGCAATGGACAATTGATACCCTGTGTTAATTTGGTTTCCCTGGATGAGCCATAAGCTTCTTCAGCTTATGGCAGGTCAATTTTCTTTTAATTTAATTTTTGAACATGAAACACAAATGGGGCAGGTCAACTTCTTTGCTGCCTCCATCCGAGTTTCTAGCACTCAGATTGAGCACATGGTGGGCACTGCATAATGACTTGTTGATTGCTGGGTGTGAGGGCTCATGCTTGTAATCGCAGCACTTTGGGAGGCTGAGGCAGGAAGATGACTTGAGCCCAGGAGTTCAAGATCAGTGTGGGCAACATAGTTAGACTCTATCTCTACAAAAACAAAAATAATGAGGCAGGAGGGTGGCTTGAGGTTGTCAAGTCTGCAATAAGCCATGATCATGACACTGTACTCCTACAGAGCAAAACCCTGTCTCAAAAAAAGAAAGAAGAAAAAAGAAGAAGGAGGAGAAGAAGAGAAGACTTGTTGATGAATCAGTTCTTCGCTAGAAACTGTCTTGGTTGATTAAGTGACTTTTTTTTTGTTGAGATGGAGCTTTTCTCTTGTTGCCCAGGGTGGAAACGGCTCACTGCAACCTCCGCCTCTGGGGTTCAAGTGATTCTCCCACCTCAGCTCCTGAGTACCTGGTAATACAAACATGCACCACCATGCCTGGCTAATTTTTGTATTTTTAGTAGAGATGGGGTTTTGTCATGTTGACCAGGCTAGTCTCAAATTCCTGATCTCAGACAATCTGCCCATCTCAGCCTTCCAAAGTGCTGGGATTACATGCGTGAGCCACTGCACTCAGCCGCATTCTTTTTTATGACTGAATAATTTCATTACATGGAGAGATCACATTTTGTAGACACATTTATGTATAAGTTTTTACTTGAACACTTGTCTTGGATGTATGCTTAGAAGTGGAATTGCTGGATCACATGATAATTCTATATTTAACTTACTGAGGAACTCTCAAACTGTTTTTCATAGTGGCTCCACCATTTTCTATTCCCACAAGCAGTATATAAGGGTTCCAATTTCTCCACATTTTTGCCAACATTTATTTTCCTTTTCAAAAATTATACCCATCCTAATGGATTTGAAGTAGTAAGTATCTCATTGTTTTGGGATTTTTGTTTTGTTTTGTTTTTTGCTGTGGTTCCTTTTAGAGACTGGGTCTCCCTCTGTCACCCAGGCTGGAGTGTGGTGGCATGAACATAGCTCACTGCAGCCTCAACCTCTTGGGTTTAAGGCATCTTCCTGCCTCAGCCTCCCAACTAAGTGGGCCCATAGGCGCACAGCACTGAAAAGGAGAAATTTCTTTTTTTTCTTTTTGAGACAGAGTCTCACTCTGTTGCCCGGACTGGAGTATAGTAGCGTGATCTTGGCTCACTGCAACCTCCACCTTCCAGGTTCAGATGATTCTTGTGCCTCAGCCTCCCCAGTAGCTGGAACTACAGGCGTGTCCTACCACACCCAGAAAATTTTTTGTATTTTTAGGAGGGATGGGGTTTCACAATGTTGGCCAGGCTGGTCTTCCCAGGTGATCACCCCAGGTGATTCATCTAAAAAAAAAATGTTATCTAGACAAAGACCTTACACCCTTCATAGAAATTAACTCACAATGGATTGTAGACCTAAATGTAAAACGCAACACTATAAAACTCTTGGAAGATAACATAGGAGAAAACTTACCTAACTGATCTTGGACATGGCAATAACTTTTTAGAGCAATACCAACAGCATAATCTGTGAAAAATATAATTGATAAGCTGGACTTCATTAAAATTTAAAACTTCTGCTCTCCAAAAGAAGAATGAAAAGACAAGCCACAGACTAGGAGAAAATATTATAAAAAATACATCTGATAAAGGAGTGTTAGCCACAACATACCCGGAACTCTTAAATCTCAGCAAGAAAATAACACAATGTAAAAATGGGCAAGATACCTGAACAAACACTTCATCAAAGAAGGTAAACACATGGCAAGTAAGTACATGAAAAGATGGTCAACATCATATGTCATTAGGGAATTGCAGATTAAAACAATAAGATACTACTTAAACTCCCAACCTCAAGTGATCTGCCTTCCTTGGCCTCCAAAGTGCTTGGATTACAGGCGTGAGCCACACGCCTGGCCCAAAACAATAAGATACTACTACACAGGGAAAATCCAAAATACTGACACCACAAAAATGCTGACAAGGATGTGGAGCAACAGAAACCATCATTCAATGCTGATGGGAATGCAATATGCTCCCGTGACTTTGAAAGACAGTTTGGTAGTTTCTTTTCTCACAAAACTAAATATACCATCCAATCCAGCAGTTGTACTCCTTGGCATTTACCCAGATAAATTGAAAACTCAGGTCTACACAAAAATCTGCACATGCTGTATAGTGGCTTGATTCATAATTGCCCAAACTTGGAAGCCGTCAAGATGTCTTTTCTTGGCTGAACAGATAAACTCTGGCATCTCCAGACAATGGAATATTATTCAACACAAAAAATAACCTTAAAAGCATGTTACTAAGTGAAAGAAGCTGACGTGAAAAGGCTGCATACTGTATGATTCCAAGTATATGGGATTCTGAAAAAGGCAAAAACTATGGAGACAGTAAAAGGAGCAGTGGCTGCCACTGGTTAGGGGACTGAGAAGGATGAATAGGTAGAGGACAGAGGACTTTCAGGTCAGTGAAACTATTGTGTATGACACCATAATGGTGGATACATGTCATTACACATTTGTCAAAACCCACAGAATGTGCAACACTGAGGGTAAACTCTAATGTAAACTGTGGACTCTGGGTGATAATGATGTGTCAATGTAGGGTCATCAATTGTTACCAAATGTACTACTGTAGCGCAAGATGTCCATAAGGGGACAGGTTGTGCATGTATGTGCCTGTGTGTACAGGGGATATATGAGAACTCTGTACTTTCTGTTCAATTTTGCCCTGAACCAAAAACTGCTCTAGTTTCATTAATAACAGTAATTTTAAAAAGCCAGGGCCCCTTCTGACCTAGGGAATCTCTGGTGATGGAGGGGGAGGGGTGTAGTCCCCTAGAAAGTTGAAATTTTTCAAAGTTACTCAACTGATTTTGTAGAGCTAGGTTTGGAACTGCTACCCTTTTCTATGCTGCCCGACCAAGTAGTGGTTCCTGAACCAGGTGTCAGGCTTCAAAGTTGTGCAAAATTTCTCATTACACTGTCTGGGCCCTAAATGTATGCTTTCCCCTCACCCCATAAATCAAGACTCTAAAACGCCAAGGATAGGAGAGCAGCACTTTCCCGTGTACTGAGTATGCAGGCAAGGGAGAGCAGTCAAGCACAGACTGGCTGATACCTAACCCCCAAATGGGCTGAAGCAGATACACTTTGAAGATCGACCACGGCGGAAATCTTTTTTTTTAATCCGTCAGGGGTGTCCCACTTATTGGGTCCCACAGCTGCGGTTTAGCAAGGAGTGGGTCTCACGTCACCAGGCCTCCCTCAAAGTCCTCCGCTCTAGCTTTGCGATTGGCGTTGGGGGAACAGGAGGGGAGGTGGGTGCTTTCATCGAGACTGCTGGGGGGGCCCGGACATCGAGGCCGGGGAGTCGTGGGTAGAGCCCCGATTCCAGCCAAGACGCCATAGGACATAAGTGAGCGTGGAGCGCAAAACGGCTACCCAAGCACAATTCTGGAAGACCGAAGGGCCGTTCTTCCACCTCTTAAATTTCCCGGGAGCCACGCCCCTCAACGGCCCGCTTTGGATTCCAAGGAGTCGCGCCGGAAGTGACCTCACGGAGGTGGCGAGGAGACGTGGGGGAGCTTCCGGCGGCGGCGTCGGTGGTTACCGCCGAACAGTGAGGGTAGACGTGGTGAGAGCCCCTCTTTGGGTCCCCTGGTGTTCTGTGGTCGACTTGGTGGTGGTGTGCGGAGGAGCTCGAGGCCCGTCGGCTCGGAGGTGGGAACCACGGGAGGCAGCTGGTTTGTGGACGCTCGTGGGAGGGGGCTTCCGGGGTTGCCAGCCGGAGTTGCTTTAGACTTCGGAGTTCCAGGCCTTGTAGACCTTTATTGAGGCGGGCACGAGATGGTGGCTTCATCGGGTACGCTGGGGTCTAGGTACTACGGGTGGCCGCAGGAGTTTGGTTTGAGGTGGGAGGCTGAGGACTGCAGGATTCTAAATAGTAAGGGGATTGTGAGAGGAGTGAGGCATTAGCGGCTTGGGCCCTTAGTCCAGGCTTCTTGGTGGCTGCTGCAGTTCATTGGCTCAGTCACTCATTGCTTGGTGCCTCAGTTTCCCATTGCATAATGAGATACGGTGGCAGAGAAGAACGCTAGTGCCACATCCATGACTGATAGTTTGAGGACGGAGGTGAACTGGAGTGTAGAAAAAGAGGGTGCCCGAGAAATTTATACTTACCAGGGCACATCTGAATCCCAGAAGTTATCCCTGGATTCATTTCTGCCTTTGGTGCCAGTCTGTGGTTCTTACCAGTACTCTTTGTGTGATATTGATTGTATTTATCAATACTTGACTTGTTGAGTGGTTAAAGTGTTTTTGGTTTGTGGGAGGCATAGCCCTTGTAGGCTTGGTCAGTTGATTTTTAATTAATCTTCCAATAGCAGTTGCTTCGGTTAGCTTTGCAATTGGGAGATTAATTGATAATTAACTGACCAAGCCAACAATCTTCTCCTGTGGTTTCAGATGAGGAACTCACGACCCAGAATGGTTTTTCTTCTCTTCCCTAGCCACAGATCAAACTGATTTCAGTCTGCTGTCTTAAATACAGGTCTTTACCCCACCAAAACAGAAATGACTGTCTCCAGGCAGTTTAGTATTTCAACTGGACACGCAGATGGTTCCTAATCTTTTTTTTTTTTAATGAATGACGGATTAGGTGTACTGAGCACAAAATTCTGTTAGTTTATTTCTCTGTATGATGTAAAAATGGTTGTAAAAACATGACTTTTTGTTTACTACGGATTTCTTGGTAGAGCCTCCTTGGCGTAGGGCTGTGGGGCTAGAAAAGTGTCAGAAATTTTTGACCTGTGACCCACAGTTAGATACATTTTTCATCATGACTTATTGTGCCCCTACACAGTGTGTACACACACACATCCTGATTAAAAGTTTACTTACTTTTTCTACAGAAGATACACTCTAAAAAAACTTTGGTTGCAACTCACTAAGTTGAGTCTGACCCTTAATAGGTCATGACGTATAGTTTAAAACATACCAACTCCCAGCACTTTGGGAGGCTGAGGCGGTTGGATCACCTGAGGTCAGGAGTTCGAGACCAGCTTGGCCAACATGGTGAAACCCCATCTCTACTAAAAATACAGAAATTAGCTGGGTGTGGTGGTGGACGCCTGTAATCCCAGCTACTTGGGAGGCTGAGGCAGGAGAATCACTTGAACCCGGGAGGCTGTGGTTGCAGTGAGCCAAGATTGTGCCGTTGCACTCTATCCTGGGTGACAAGAGTGAAACTCCATCTTGGAAAAAAAGTAGAAAAGAAAAATATTACACTAGGGCCGAGTGCAGTGGTGGGAGGATTGCTTAAGGCCAGCCTGGGCAACACAGTGAAACCCTGTCTCTAAGAAAAACAACATTGGAAAGTGTTTAAAATCATTGCCATTCGTGAGATTCTGTAATTAATGCAATATGGAAGAAGTGTCATTTTTCTTTTCTTATCCAGAGAAGGGCTTACTAGAGTTCTCCTAAATTCAGCAGAACAACAGGACAGGACATCCAAATTCTATCTCAAAGAAGCGTAGTGACCATAATAGTCACTGCGCTCCTGATAGTGTGTCAGAATTTTTAGCAAGGCATTTATTAAGTCTTATGATAATCGAGTGGGCGAGATGGAGGAATTTGCCAAATTGTGGTAGGACTAGATGGAGTCATGAGTTTTAGCATCTATATCTAGAGAGGTTTGATGTGTGGACATTACTTACGGCTGGAATTCTGGTGATCTAAACTGGAGTTTCATCACTTTCTTTATACACTTTATGTATTTGAAACCTTAGCTAGAAAGTTTGCTTATTGGATTTGGTGCCTTTATGAAGTAAAGCAAGGATCATTTGGTTGATGATTGCCAGAATGCTAAAACTTCTCACTATATTTGCTCAGTGTTTAATGAAATGGAAGAAGCATGTATAAATGTGAGAAATTGCACTTGGGTCCAAAAAAGTCAACTATAACCTATTGGGGGAGGGTGGAGATGTGACCTCACAGGAGTTCTTGTAATAAAAAGATTTGATATCTCAATCACCAGTCAGTGGTGTGGCCAAGAAAGCTGTGAGAAGTACTGATGTGACCTGCGTTAGTATATTGTATTAGGAGAATGCAAAATCTAGAATTAGAAAGGTTGCATCACTGGTAGGCTTGTACCTGAATATTAGGTCTGCATCTAGGTGTGCTAAGAGTAAATTTATGGGCAGAAATCAAGTCTGAAGATATGATGGTATTGCTTTGGCATGAATGGTTATTTTTCTCATTGTCATTTCAGGCTTACAGGTATACGCTGGGTCATTGGTCTTAAAACATTTCTGTTAGAGAGTTTCTGGAAGACTGGGGAGTCTGTTAGATCTTATATCCTTTTCAGTTGGCACCTGAAACTTTGCATCATAGATTTAAATAGTGTAAGTATTTTATTTATTTGTTTATTTATTGAGATGGAGTTTCGCTTTTCTTGCCCAGGCTGGAGTGCAGTGGCTTAATCTTGGCTCACTGCAACCTGCACCTTCCAGGTTCAAACGATTCTCCTGCCGCAGCCTCCCTAGTAGTTGGGATTACAGGTGCCCACCACCACGCCTGGCTAACTTTTTTTGCATTGTTAATAGAGATGGGTTTCACCATGTTGGCAGGCTGGTCTTGAACTTTTGACCTCAGGTGATCCACCCACCTCAGCCTCCCAGAGTGCTGGGATTATAGGCGTGAGCCACTGCACCCAGCCAGTATTTTATTTTAAATAGTTTAGGATGTAATTTCTAACAAGTAAATATTGACTTCTTAAATATAAAATTATCTAGGCCAGGCGCATTGGCTCATGCCTGTAATTCCAACACTTTGGGAGACTGAAGCGGGCCTATCACCTGAGGTGGGGAGTTAAGACCAGCTTGGCCTGAACATGGAAAAACCCTGTCTCTACTTAAAAAAAAAAAATAGCCGGCTGTGGCAGCGCATGCCTGTAATCCCAGCTACTGGGGAGGTGAGGCAGAAGAATTGCCCAAACCCAGGAGGCAGAGGTTACAGTGAGCCAAGATCGTGCCATTGCACTCCAGCCTGGGCAAGAAGAGCGAAACTCCATCTCAAAAAAAAAAAAAAAAAAGCAGTATATGTATTTTTTTTACAATACAAATTGATAGAATATAATTTGATGTTTGAAAAACATACTACTAACCTTCTGAAGCAAAGATTGTAAGATGTATAACACAGTGTATTCCATTACTTGATTTTCAGATGTTAAACACATCTTGCATTTGCGAAATGAACCCCAGTTAGTCATGTATATACTGCTTTTTACGTATAGATGGATTCAGTTTGCTAACATTTTGTTAAGAATTTTGTGACTATGTTTATGACGGATATTGGTCTGAAGATTTCTTTTTTTGCGTCATCTTTGGCCTTAGTAGCAGAGTAATTACCACCTCATAAAACGAATTGGGAAATGTTCCTTCCTCCTGTTTTCTGAAAGAGTTTGTGTAGGATTTATATTATTTCTTATATGTTTCATAGGATTTACCAGTGAAGTCCTTTGGGCCTGAGTTTTTCTTTCATGAAGATTTTACTAAATATCTTAATGTACTTAATTGAGTTTGTTTTGGTGATTTTTTTTTTTTTTATCATTCTGGGGGTTTGTCCATTACATATTTTTCCTTTTTGAACTTGTATCCATTCCACTTTCCAACAGAATTTTATCCTAAAGCAAAAGTCAGTAAACTTTCTGTGAAAGGCCAGATGACCACAAAGGCCCTCATGGTTTCTGTGATTACTGCTTAACTCTCATTGTAATGAGAAAACAGCCATAGACAATATGTGGTCAGGTGCAGTGGCTCATGCCTGTAATCCCAGCACTTTGGGAGGCTGAGGCAGGTGGATCATCTGAGCTCAGGCATTCAAGACCATCCTGAGATGGTGAAACCCCATCTCTGCTAAAAATACAATAATTAGCTGGGCGTGGTGGCAGGCGCCTGTAGTCCCAGCTACTCGGGAGGCTGAGGCAGGAGAATCGCTTGAACCCAGGAGACAGACGTTGCAGTGAGCCAAGATCACACCACTGCACTGCACCCCAGCCTGGGTGACAGGGTGAGACTCTGTCTTCAAAAAAGAAAAAAAAAGAAAACAGCCGTAGATAATATGCAAGCATTTGCGTGTAATTGTGTTCCAATAAAACTTTATTGGTAGCAGACCCGATCTGGCTTAGGGCTATAGTTTTCCTCCTCATCCTAAAATAATATATTTTATGCTTGAAAATTTAAAATTGATCATCTAGTTGTCCACACAGATCAGGTTTATGAGAGTAGTGTGGAAGTTGATTCCCTTGCTTGCATATCTGGACTTGATTTCCAAGATGTTGTAGAAGGAATTCATGTATTTTTGTAATTTTGTTTGGGTGAGAAGTGAGGTGGCCCTCCCTCACAGTATCATTTTCCAGGGCCATAACTTAAGTTCCCTATGTGACCAGTATTCTTTCTGCCAAAAGAAGACATTTGAACTAAAAATTTTTATGTAGTAGACACTATATGGATTATCTCATTTAATCTTAAAATAATCCAGTATCTTAATCTTAAAATAATCCATGTAGTGGTTCTATGAGATAGGGGTATAACTGGCATAATTCTCTACAGATGAGGCAGTTGAGACTCAGATTAGGTAATTTGCCCAGGTGGTAATACTGGTTAGTAAGGAAGTACAGAAGTGAATGGGTACTGTACTGTGATGTCTGATTTCTTTTCTTCGAGACAGAGCCTTTTGCTCTGTCACCCATGCTGGAGTGCAGTAGTGCGATCTTGGCTCACTGTAACCTCCACCTCCTGCCACTTCTGACTAATGTTTTGTGTTTTATCTAGAGACAGGGTTTTGCCATGTTGCCCAGGCTGGTTTTGAACTCCTTAGGCTCAGGCAGTCAGCCCTCCTTGATCTCCCAAAGTGCTAGGATTCCAGACACTAGCCACCAGAGGTGTGAGCCACCACACCCAGCATGATTTCAGAATTTTATTATCTTTCCACCTTGCTGCCTTTTATGGAAGATAGAGGTTTAGTACTAGGATTGTGCTGGATTTCTTTTTCTGGGGGTGGGGGTGGAAACAGTCTTGCTGTGTTGCCCAGGCTGGTTTGAAACTCCTGGCCTCAAGTGATCTTCCTGCCTCAGCCTCCCAAAGTGCTGGGATAGGGCCAGTGCCATCATGCTTAGTTGGGTATTTTCTTTTAAGATCTCTGCCATTCCCAATATTTTGATTCAACAAATACCTTTCTTGTTGTGTGGAACGATTCCTAGTTTTTCATAAATCTGTAACTACTCATTCATCCACAGCTGTTAGTTATAATTGCTTTTAGGAAGCCAAGGGGTTGTTCATTGGATCTGAATGCTGTGAGTTCTGTCTTATGTGGCACAGGAGATGGAAGTAGCTAGATTTGTAATTGGCAGCTTGTTTATTTGTAATTTATGGATCATTTGGGCAGCTGCCTCAGTAATATAATAGATGGAAGAGTGTTTAGCACTACCTGATTTTGTTATCCAAAGGCTTATCAGAGTAATAATAAAGTCCCATTACTTACCTGGCATTCAGTAGTCTGGAAATCCTGATAGTTCAGTATTTGAGCAAAATAGTACCATAATTAAAAGTAATATGGAAAATCCTGATTATGATTATGTGACATCTTTGGCTCCCTTCCTAGCTACACAGATTGTTAGGATAGATTTTAATAACAAGTTGGCAAAAAAAGTGTTAGCTGGCCGGGCGCGGTGGCTCAAGCCTGTAATCCCAGCACTTTGGGAGGCCGAGGCGGGTAGATCACGAGGTCAACAGATCAAGACCATCCTGGTCAACATGGTGAAACCCCGTCTCTACTAAAAATTACAAAAAATTAGCTGGGCACGGTGGCGCGTGCCTGTAATCCCAGCTACTCAGGAGGCTGAGGCAGAAGAATTGCCTGAACCCAGGGAGCGGAGGTTGCGGTGAGCCGAGATTGCGCCATTGCACTCCAGCCTGGGTAACAAGAGCGAAACTCCGTCTCAAAAAAAAAAAAAAAAAAAAAAAAGTGTTAGCTGCGCCAACATTGCATGAAAAAAAAAGTCTTACATTGGTGTATACTACACAGAAGAATTAGTTCTTTTTAGAATTGGAATTGTTTGAAGGATTCATTTCATGAATAGGCTTTACAGGAAAGGGGTGTGTGTGTGTGTGCGCGCGCACGCGTATGTGTGTGTATATATATATAATTGTACATCAAATCCTGTTACCAAACATCAGGAAGTAGTAGAGGAATGTATTAATGAGATGAAAGATATTCCAATAGTATAAGAACAAAGTGATAAGTGAATTAAAGTGTCCTTACCTGCAGGTGTGTAAGAAATAGAGGCAGAAGGAAGACAAATAATACTAAATGAACTTTAGTAGCAAGTTTTGGACTGAATAGTAATTCACAACATTTCTGAATTCAATAGTCATTATAATTTTAGGAATAATTTATTGGGAGAAAAACTATCAGTGAAGCAAGAGTACTTAAATGTGTTTAAGAAAACATCAAAACCATTGCACCCCTACCAGAATAAGTTAAAGAGAACAATAGTTCCAAATTTTGGCGAGATGAGGAGCAAAAGGAACTTTCTTGTGGTGAGTTGTGTAAATGTAGATGGTACTATAAGATGGTACAACCACTTTGGAAAACTGGCAGTTCCTACTAAAGTCATAAATATAATATGACTTTCTGTGTTATATGCCCCACAGAAGTGGATGCATTTGTCCACAAAAATATATTGTATACAATATATAAGAATATTATTTGTAATAGCTCAGAACTAGAAATAATCCAAGTGTATATCAGCAGTAGAATGGATAAACATATTGAAGCATACTTACAGAAAACAGCACAGCCATGAGAAAGAATAAACTTCTGATGCATCCAATAATAGGGATGAATCTCAGAAATGTACTTATTTTTTTGAGACACTGTCTTGCTCTATCATCCATACTGGAGTACAGTGGCAGGATCTTGGCTCACTGTAACCTCCGCCTCCCCAGATCAAGTGATTCTCATGCCTCAGTCTCCTGAGTAGCTGGGATTACAGGCATGTGCCACCACACCCAGCTAATTTTTTGTATTTTTAGTAGAGACGGTTTTGCCATGTTGGCCAGGTTAGTCTTGAATTCCTGACATCAAGTGATCCACCCACCTTGGTGTCCCAAGGTGCTGAGATTACATGGGTGAGCCACCACACTCGGCCTCACAGATATACTTTTGAGCAAAAGAAGCCAAATACTCTAACAGAGAACCTTTATGATTCTGTTTATATGAAGTTCAAAATCAGGCTCAAATAAATTTTCATGATGTCAGAATAATAACTACCTGTAGGAGGACACACTGGAGCTTTTGAGATGTTGGAAATAGTCTATCTTGTTTGGAGTGGTGGTCACAT